TTTTAAGTCACTATAATTTTCCAAAAAACCCATGAATTGATTTAAAATTTTGCAGGTAGCTTTTTAATAGTAATAGGAATCTATAATAACAAGTTCGACATGCTAACATTGTTTAAGTATACAGCCTGTACATCCTTAAATGCACTCTGGGAATTGATCGATATTCACAAAAACAATTTATTTGCCCGATACAGCCGCTTCTACAAATCCGTTCATTGGAGCAAACGTTGGTACAACCGGCGCAAGTCCGACAAAGTGGTAGTCACCGAACTAATGAGAATACACCTATACACGAACGTTAGAGGATTATTACGTAATTCTTTGCGGGGTGGATTTTTGTGTGCAGATTAACACGTCAGACAACAGAATGCTGTCTGCAAAAGCGTTTCCTCTCATCTAGTTAAAATTGATGTTGATCGACTGCTTATTTTCTTCGTGTAATCAAATATATTAAACATCTCCAGAACCTCGCGACGTCATATAGTCTAATATTCCTGCTACCATTTCGTTTCTTCCTGTACTTCAAATAAATACTTGCCACAATAAGCAAGGTAACAATTACCATAGTAAGTGTACGTCTATACGGAATCAAAAAAGCGATACTCGTATGTGGATCCACCCCGTGTAAAACGAAGAACGACGATTGAGGACCTTGACGTATAATAAATAACCCGTTTACAAAATTCACGATTACGAGAAATGGAAGACGTGTAATTAATAATAATTAATGATCACATTTTGTTCGTACACGAGTACGTATACATACGTAACGAAACTAATGACAATGACTTAACGTTAACTAGCAAACATTCCCTTGTTAATTGACAAATCTATTAACGCGTTAATGTGTACCGTTACGTATTATAATCTGTACGAAAATAACAAAAAAGAAAAACGTTGTATAGTTCTTCATTGACATAACGCAACTGCTTTTTATTTCAAATAATTATCATTTTATGCAACGAAATCAGTATATGTATATAATTACACGTATATATGTATACTAACGCGGGGAACGAGTTTGCTTTAAAGCCGAACTTCCAATCTTAGGATGATGTGAAATTAATGCACAATATTTAGTATTCATTTTAATTGCTCGCTACGACAGAAGATATTTACGTAGTTTCGATATTAATATTATTTTCAAG